GTCAGTCAGCCTCCAGCAGCTGTTGATGCATGGGGCTATTCCTCCCCAGGTAAAGGACTTTTCATTTCCCTTTGTTGAACTTCATCAGATTCCTCTCAGGTCAATTCTTTAGCCTGCCAAGGTCCCTCTGAATGGCACAACCATTTGGTGTGTCAGCTACTCCTCCCAGTTTTGTACTATCTGCAAACTTGCTGAGGGTAAGCTGTACTATTACCCCGTCCATTAATGAAGACATTAAAGAGTATCTGCCCCAGTATCAACAGCCGGGGGTCAGAGCACCAATGACTGGTCTCCAGCTGTACTTTGTGCTACTGGTGACAATCCTTTGGGCCCAGCCACCCATCCCTTTTTCAGTCTTCCTCACTGTGCATTTTGACAGTTTATATTTGAACATGTTGTAGGAGACAACAACAAAGGCTTTGGTAAAGGTGAGGTAGACATCATCCATTGCTCTACCCATAACCTATCAATATGGCTCTACTATTAAGGGTGTCAAGTACATTAATCATTACTCCAAATCAACATTTTCTCCCTTTGTTTGGAATATAGTTTCCAGGATTAGACTCTATCACCTTTCAATGGATGGAGGTAAGGTTGACTAACCTGTATTTGCCTGTATCATCCTTCTTACTCTCTTTGAAGACATCACTTTATTACAGCAATTCTAGCTTTTTATACCTAGTCAATTCCAGGAAGAAAAATAAACCTTTAAATAAAGTTTATTAAATTCTTTTTTCTGCTAGCATTCTATGCCACGAGAAAGATCTTGCTTTCTTTCCAGTATTAGACAGCTGATTAAAAAAAAAAAAGACAAAAGTATCTCTTAATAGAATATAATTATGCCTATTTTTCAGAAGACACATAAATTAGATATTCTTTCAGGATTAGACTGAGATTAAAGGACTTGAGAGCTTCCACAATTTTTATAATTTTGTTGTCTCCAACTGTTTTGAGAACTCTCAGAGCACAGTGAAGACACTGTGCTTTTGAAAATCCCATTCTGAATTTTTGTAGGCTTACATTACATATAAAAGTACATGCAAGAATTTTACAAAACCTGTAGCACAGATTCCTCACTTTCAAAATAAGGAAATGCCAGAATTTGTGTGATCTTATTTTTTTTATTTTGTGTTTCTGATTCCCACATTTTATATGCATATGTATCTTTTAGCATCACGGTCACATACTTAATTTTCCTTCAGATCCCAAAATCTTCAGTGCTCAGAATAGCCAATGAACAACTAATCAATATTCTTTTTCATCTCTTTTATTCAATATTAAACTCAGACACCATTGATCTTTTGGGAGTCAAGAACAAAACCCATATGCAAAGTTTGCAGGGAAGATTTAACTATAAAGCCCTGAGAATTTTAGCTTTCTCTTATTTTCTTCCCCCTTTTCCTTCATCTTTTGACTGACCTCAGACCCATTTCCCCTACTCTCAGGACCTCTGTTTGTCCCACTCCAGTGAACCTCTCACTTGAGGGTTACCCAATGCATGGAAGCACAAGTCTTCAAACAGCAAAACAAAACTGGCTGAGAGCACAGACACTCCCTCAAACAGCTTGACTTTCAGCTGCCAGGGTAGCACGCACAGAGGCAAAGGGGTGGGAGCAGAGAGCTGAGGCTGGTGCCAGAACAGGACTTGGACAATCCAGGGTGAGACTGGCTTAAACTGCTGTTGAATCACACTGTGACACAGGAGGCTGCTCCTCCGTGGCCTGGGGCTGTGACATTAATCCATACATAAAGGGAGTGGAAAATGCTCTTATGCTGGGGATAGTAGGCTCCATCCACAGCAAAACTTTTTAAATCTTGCTAAAATTTCTCTTTGTCCTCCTGTCTTAACATTGATAACAGAATGGGGGTGACCTGAAACAATTTATTGTAACTTCTAAGCAAATTTCCATGGGTTTTTTGGTTTTTTTTTGGTTTTTTGTGGTGCTTTGGTTTGGTTTGGGGTTTTTTACATGTACTTAAGGCTTAAATGTGTCATAAAGTTCTTGTGCATTCATCAGGCTGTACAGTACCCTCCAGCGGGATTTCCTTGGCTATACACAAGCTCAGAGACCAGCATGTGGCAACTTGGGCCGAGAACAAAAGAAGCACATGATGAGTCTGCAAGGTTATCTGTAACAACGGGCACTTCTAGCTGTGCTACATGCACTACATACCACCTTCTTCAGATTATCCTAATAATGCACACTGTTCTCATTTTATATGGTGCAGCTCTCTTCAACCTCTCTTACACTATATCTGTACGAGCATTCACACAAATGTTGGCTAAAAAATTTCTGTTCCAGCTAAAAAGCATAAGGTACCTTATGCACTGTGCAATATATGGGCATGTATAGATTTCAGGAACAGAAGTGGCATTAAATGTATGACAATATGTAGGTGTGAAAATACATAAATTCGTGAATAGTTGCACAACCCACACAACTCCACTAGATTCTGCAGAATAGCAACAAATAATGCACAGGTATTGAGATGATGAACAGGTGCTGCACTTATTTGTCAGTCAGCAGAGCTGTGGGAGGCAGGAATTGAAGGAGATTTTGAAACAGGAAGAAGAAAGAGAAAGATAAATTCCAGATGGACACAAAGTGGCACTGCTCTGCTGACCCAGCATAAAAGGGAACAAACTGTAAATTACTAGAAAAAAAGAGTTTTGTAAAAGGAAGCCGTGCTATATAGGCATTAATGTTCTTTCCAGCCACACAGAACTCAGAGCATGAATATACATCAGATTTAAATACTCCTGCAAAGTGTTAGAAAAAATTCTTTACATATGGTTATTTACACAAACATAACCATGAATGAATAAAAAGACTGCACAACTACATGTATCATTAAGCAAGATACTCTGTAGATTCTCACACTAACACTTGCATAATTATATATGATCCTTCCAAACATTTAGATTTTTTTTTTCTGTTTGCTTCTTTAAAACTCACAAAATGTAATGAAATTCTCTTTTAAAACAGCAGAGACTGCTGCGTGCCTAACAAACCATTATTTGCTTGCTCATAATCATCTTTTCTGTCTGTTAGAGTCACTGATGCATTAATTGCTTATCAAAACCTGAAACAGTTCATGAGTCACTCTGAAGTTAAAATAAATATTAATGAGACAATTTCAATGAAATTCCTGTCCTCTGCCTCTTAAAGCTGTAAGACTGTATTTACTACATTTCAGAATTAAGTCTTGATACCTAATAAATGGGAAAATATTAAATATACTGACTAGATCACCATGTTTCAAGGGATCATTGCATTATTATCTTATTTGACCAAATTAGTGTTCAAAGAGAGAAAGGACCGGTCAATTATAAGAGAGAAATTAGGTGAAAGAGATACGTAGCTCTGGTGCAGTTGGAGTCAAAAATGAATGATGTGGATTTTGAAGCTGGGAAATGCTTCTCTATCTGATGATTATAACTCAACATTAGTAAGCACATGATCTTTGAACAAACACACTGGCAACAAATATCATTACATAAGAAATTTTAGTACTCCTTACATTGAATGAAGAACAGGGAGAAGGAAGGCATGGAGTTTTCAGGAAAATCAAAATAAAGCCCTTTATTTTGGATCTATATGGAATTTTCATTAAGCAAAAACACTGAGCGGAGGGCTCTTCACTGACTATTTTTTACTAAAATTCAGTGAAATACACTATTTTGAACTGTAAAAATTTTCATTTTGAAAACATGAGTGTGCTGAGAGATTTTTAAGTCTGGGGCAATGACAATTCACTGTTGGAAATCCAAGTCTAAAACTTTTCAAATTAAATGACCCAGGATGAAGTAGGAAACACAAGTCCTTCCCTTGAACCTTTACTTGCTTGTTCTAGCTTGTTCCTGAAAATGGTAGGCAAAGAAGATCCCACAGAAATCAAAGGAGCAACAGCGTATTTCCCTAAAAGGTAGCAGTAGATCTGAAATAATTTGGTAATTAGAGAGACATCAGTGAGCCACTTTGAGTCAAACTGTTAGTGAAAAACCCCTTTCCAAAAAAATGACAGCTTTTCTCAAGGAAGTTGAGCAGCAGGATATTATGGCTCAGGAAGCCGGCTGGTATAACGTGATAAAGTGGGAAATTTGTAGAAATTAACCCTATTATTCACTGACTACAGCAGCATGAAGAACCCATTATATCAGACTCTGAGTCTTAGAAAGAAATGAAGAAACCTCTATTTATTGTATTAGGCCAAGTTGTTTTTTGTCAGAGGTCATGTCAGCTGCTTACCAGAAGACACTGCTTTAACTTCAGCTAATCACATATTGAGGCAGTCCTAGGAGTGCTCCTGCATCTCAGCTGACGTCACAGCACAGGGACACCCTCCTTAGGATGTACTGTAAAACTAAAGGCATCTCCCCAAACCAAGCTATCTGATCCAGCACTTAATACAGAATATGCCACTGTCAGTGAAGTCTGCATGTAAGAATACAGAGAAAAATTGTGGATTAAATATATACAAGGAAAATTCAGATTTTGGTATTTACCCTCATAAATTAGCATATATACTAGCATTTTTCCCTACAGTGTAGTTAAATAGTTTCCACTTTCCATGCAGTATCCTAAAATTCTTCACTTCACACATTCACAGCTAAGAGAGCTCTCACACAACTTTTTTTTTTCCTTTTAAGTGTAAGGAAGGACTTACTTCATGTTACAAATGTACTGTGCTGCTTCCTCTGAACATACAAAATTATGGAAATAATATATGCAAAGTCATAGGTTCAAGGTGGGGCACTGGTATCTAAAATAAGGATTGTTGACATTTATCATAATGTGCACTTAAGATAACAATTAAACAACTTACTTATGTTCGTGAAAAGTACTTTTTGTGCTCCCAGAAATTGCTTAGTCAAATAAGGCTGAACTCACATACAAATGTATTCCTCACCATAAAAATGGCTGGAGAAATAGCAGCTATCAGTGATACTTCTCCTACTGTCAAGTTTACCCCAAGTGTGGATAAAACCAGTGTCTTACCTGCTCAGATAATTCTGGCCCGTTGATCCGAGCCTGTACCAGAGCATCATGAACAAGGGAATGGAAGTTCAGCAGCACGTGCTCAATGCCGTGTGCTCCACTCAGGGTTCTGGAGAGCTCCTCCAGGGACTGGATATACTCCCGCCAGTGGAGATCAACTTCTGCTACGTCAGCCAGGCAGCCTCGGATGATGTTGAGGCAGTAGCCCATGCAGGGCTTGGTCAGCGTCAGCCCCTGGCAGTGTGGGCAGTACTGCATTCTCAGCAAAGCTCTGCTGCAGTCTTTGGAGAAGCGCAGGTGATCCGTTGTATTGATCACTTCGATCCCCAAATTCAGAGCCTGCAAGAAAGTCCGGCTGGGTAAGAGTGATCTTCCCATTTGTCCTATGGCCTTTTTGGGGATGTTGCCAAAAGGCCTGATGTCTCTTCTTGCCGCTCGCAGGCACTCCGCATATTCCAGTGAAATGTCAGTCGGACCAGGGTTAATCACATGGTTGTAGACTACTGGAAACAGGGTGTCAAAAAATCTATTCACAAATTCCTCTGTGCTGATGTCTGTGCCAAATAAGAAGAGTCCAACATCTGTGAAAAACTCCTGCACATGCACAGTAGCCTCAGCAGCCATGTTTCTATATGCACTGCAGAAAAGTGTGCTTGTGTAATTCTCAGCCAGTCTGATAAGCATTTCAAAGGTTTCTGCAATAAATCAGTCAATCAATCAATCAATCAATAAGTCAATCAATCAATCAATCATTATTTTTAAGGTTTAAAAAAGTAAGAAATTAGAGTAAGAACATCAAACAGTTACATTAGGACAATTTACATATATCCCAAACTTTTGCATTAGAATTTTTGAGGAGTCAAACTTCTCACAAACTACAACTGTCTTTTCTATATAGGGAAGCAGCTTACAAGTAATGTTACAACACAATTAATAATCCATGTTTTCTTTGCTGATTACATTAAACACAAAAAAAAAATATGACAGGAAATAATTGTAAGCTGAGTTATTAAGTTACAAAATACAGCAAAGTCCTATTGTACCTGTCTATGTATATAAACACATTCTCTCATCTCACAGCTCATTCTGCAAGTTGCAATAAGCAGCTGAATGCTCTCACTAACTCCAAGTCATTCCTCTTACCATCCTAAATAGATTGGAAAAAGTAACATTAAAAAATATAAACAACAATTCTATTAAAACTCAACTCTTAAAGATCAGTTTTTATTTTGTGTCTTCCAGAGGAAGCAGATGTTCCAAACACACGTGAGAACATGATTTTAAACAGTGCTGTTTGGCCTGTCAATTGGTATGGTCAAGAACTGCTTTCCTCAGGAACTGATGGATAATCCCTTGCTAAGCCTCAAGAACTGTGTAATGAATAAAGCCTGAATGGACAAAACTTGCATTTCATGTTTTAGGTGGTAATCCTTAAATACACTGAGCAGTGTTTAATAAAGCAGTTTAAGTATACTGGAAAAACATCCTTTCCTGACTTGGCCTATGATTTGCAGGTAAGAGAAAACATCAGTTTTCAAAGCAGAAGAAGAGTGTGTACATTGAGGAATTCCCTAGATCTGCCTGAGAAGGTTGCATTTTAAGGAAGGCAATGAAGCAATATATGGATCAAAAAGAAACTTAGCTTAGAGTTGAGAATAGAAACACAGACAGACATATTAAAAATATTAAACCATTTTATACACTAAATGGCTACAATTTAGTTAGTGACTTCAAGCTTTACAAGTATCCATGTATTTTTTCATGTTTATTTTTAAGTAAGACTGTAAAAATAAATTAAGGAAAAGCATGAAATACAGTTAATACTGTCTAAACATTGATGTTAAATACAGACGGAATCAAAGTGTCAAACTATGTCAAGCAATTTCTGAAGCAATCTGAAATCTGCTGGTCAGTCATTGACTGAAATGTATAGTAGGAAAACCAGCATAAATGTAAAAAAGACAAGATTGGCTATCACATCTTTAATAAATACCTATGCTTAAGTGCCTTATATAATAATAAAAAGTTTGTTCAGGCCAGTGAAAGGATTCTTGATGATTGCAGAGAGCTTGAAATTGCACGCTTTTTGAAAAGATCACATATATTTTGCATTCAGTCTCTCGCCAATAAAAATGAGATAAATAACAATCATTCCTCTGCTATAGGACTTCCTCTGTAAATCTTAGTTTCATATTTCATGTCTCTTAAATTGAATTTGCTGTTCTCTTTTCTATTCTTCCAGCATCCACATAAGTAGGAAAAAAAGTGCTGACAGCTCACAGTAAAGAGTCAGAAAGTGCGTCCCACTTGTGTGTTTTTGGATTTTTTTTGTTGCTATGTCACTGTCACATACACATGTGAGCCTCTCCATACATTAATTTCACTATAATCATTCATAGATGCCAGATATCATAGTGATTCAGCAAAGGGATTAATTTGTTTCAAAAGTCATACTCCTGAAGTCAGTACCCTTCACAAAGCTATGTTTCCACCAAAGGAGACCCACTCAACACAGAAAAGCCTCTTGGGCTTATCCTGTGAGTTAACAGGCAGAAGTGCCAGCTGAGAAGCTTTGCAGCTCCCAACACCACCAGTGCCTCACACCTCATACCTGAGCTATGGGAGACCCATTCCCTTCTGGAGCAGCAAATGAGGCACAACAAGTCAGACAGGTCAGATTAAATTGATCAAGATGCCCACTTTAATGCACCTGAACCAAGGATGACATCTCCACCAGCTGTACAGGCAGTTTAGACATGCAGCTCCCATGGAGGCACAGGTACATGGGAAACTAAATTACAGCCCTAAATTAATAAATATGTAATTATAATACATCTCATTTTTATTGGGGGAAATAAGGAATGCAAAGAGCATGCAGTCCTACTATGGAAACTTTAGTTGTCTAAGAGTATTTGATAGCATTTTTAATGGTAGATACCATTTTTATTTGCCTGTCCGAAAGGGCATGTGTGTTCTGCAGGTCTTATGTCATATCTGTAGGCTCTTGATAAACATTTTACATTTAAAATGGTACTAGGTGGCTGTCCTGAGACCACTGAACTAAATTCTAGATATGTAGTTATCACAGACTTGACAACTCTTCATACAAAATCATGGTGCAGCCCAGAAGAGCAAAGACAAAAAAATTAAGTAAAACTGATTCTTGGTTTAGATGGTTTAAAATAATAAAATGTGAAGAATGTTCAAGTTTTTTTATTATTATTTTTCCTAGATGGAAACCACGAAGTCTATGATCTAAAATGTCTGTTAAAATCCATGGCTGCAGTATCCTATTACCAAGTGCACAAATATTAGTTGAAAGAATAAATCATGCTGCATATGGACAATCAATAGATTTTACAATGTGGTATAAACAATAACAAATCTTCAGTATTGAACTACATTCCTAGTGCCTTAGCAACCACCAGATGAATGAGTACAATAATCAGTTACATAATATTTCTGCCTTTCTAAATAGGATGTGAAGATATTGGCCACTTGTATTTACAATTCTGCCTCATACTGCTTAATTGTCATTTTATGATTTCTTACAGAATTTTTTAATTTTTTTTTTTTTTCCCTACTGGCTCATTTTCTACTTTATAACCATGGCTATTTCAGATATTTGTTTTGCTCTCAGCAAATTTGCTGACAGACAGCAAATCAGACCTATGTTTACCTTCAATATTGAAGAGCTCCTGTGAACACCTTATGATGGCAATATATGTCATTTACAACACATTCTGATACTTCAGTGACAAATCAAGTTATACTGGTTCAATACTGCAAGCTGTAGCAGTGTGTTTATCTTTTAAATCTATGGGCTGAGACTAACATAATCAGCATTAATTACTCAGCAACATAAGAGATGTGATGAGTTTTCAATCAGTATAAATCTGTTACATATACATTTTAAGTATAAGATGAACGAGACAAGCTCTTTTTATTGTTATCAAATTATTTTTTAATCTTCAGGGTCAGCGTCTCCATGATTTATGAAATCTTCATATTAACTGCTATACAATATCCTATACTTTGTATAACCCTACTATTAATAATGTCTAGTGTTTTTCCACAGATCACACATCAATTTTGTTTTTCTTTGGTAACAGTTAAAACTATTATTTGTACACTCCTAAATCAAATTTCAGGGTTGTCAATATTTTAAACAATTAATTTTTTGAAAGAACAATAATATTTCTCTTCCTGATTTTAGTAAGAACAAAACATGAGGCTAGGAAACTTGTAAATTAGAACTTGTTTGTTTTATGTATAGCATTTTTTCAGCTGATACTTCATACCAGTACATATATACATTATTTTTCGATAGTGTGTTTAACAAAGTGATTACAAAGAGATGTAAAACAGCTATCAGGTCGTTGTTTAAAAGATTTGCTCTCTTCCCTTCCTTTAACTTTTCAGTTCTTGAGAGCCATGGGTAGTTCTAAATTGTAAAGAAGTTTCAAGATATCTATTAGTCCAGTGGATAAATGGGTTTAAAATAAAAATGAGAAGCATACACATCCCTTGTTTATTAGAACAAAGAGAACAAAAAAGAAATCCAGTTTTTTTATTCCTGGACATTAATCAGATTTAATGGCAATATTGCACAGAATGAAGTAGAATTTGAATTTGATTTTAAACCAGCCCTGCAATTCTCATCCTTAATAGCTTTGGCCAAGTGTCTTTATACCATAGGTACCCTAGAAAATTAATTTGAAATAAATTTCTGTGGAACCATGCTGTTGTATAACAACTATATTTTCATAATATATAATATATTGTTGTTATACATTTCTTTACATAGATGTTCTATAAATCTGCTAAATGAGAAAATGCATGGTTCTAAATGCTGAGCACTACGTTTTGAAACACATATGGTACTTAATGCAGAGGTAAGTCTAATAAATTATTAGACTCCAGTATTAGCAGTCATCCAACAAGTTGTGAAGTTGTATAATTTGGCAATAATTCACCAGCCTAAATTACATATTAGAAATTAATTCACACTTAGGGTAACATATAGAACTCAATAAATTATAACCAGACAGGTTAAAATCCATCTTTGATTTATGACATTGTATTTAGCAAGACTGCCTTTCACAGTCCAGAGGAGATCCAAAACTGATGAGCCTGGAGTATCTTAAGGATCAGCCCATAATATACAGCAATCAATAACTAAATCTAAGCAAACCTGGAAAACCTAGCAATGTTATAAATTTATGATGATTTGAAAACTCCTATGGGAAAGTATTGCCAGTTGCCATTGATGTTTGGCTATCTTGTAAAGTTTTCCTTCTGTTTATGGGAAGCACAAATAAACCAGAAGCATCATACTCCCTTCTTCTAAAGATTTATAGTACAATCAAATGTACTTTGCATATGTTGTCCTTCTAGAGTCACAATGAATGTCTCAGGTGCAAGTTAAAGCCAGGTAAGCAAAAGGCATTCAAAAGGTATGAAAATAAAAATAGTGGAGAAGAAAGTAATCCACACAGCATTACATTCATAGTATCTTTGTTTAAAATACATCACACAGAGAAATATGTATAGGTGTATTTGTTCCTAATAACAAAGTGACAGATATAATGCAAAATCCCTCAATCATTTACCATATCAGAAAAATGAGCTGGAAGAATCATGTCTTCAAGACATATAAATGAATTATACAGAATTAACTCATTAGGGCATTACC